GCCCGGTGCGTTGCTCGCAGTGTCGGTGAAAGAGGAGCCGGAAGCCGAGGTGCGCATGGTGAACGGGAAGCCCAAGAAGGTCCGCAAGCCGCGCACCATCTACTCCAGCTACCAGCCTCACGCAGACACAGGTCAGTCTGGGGGACATCTAGGCTGGCGGGGCGTCGGTGGGGCCGCGCGGGACCCCGGACTCCCCAGGCACTACCGAGCCTGAAGGGCCTTTTAAACTCCCTGCAGCCCTTGGAAGCCCTTGCCTGTGGGTAGAGGGGCCCCCCAAGTCTCCACTTCTGTCCGAAGTTCCCGATTAGCACCGCATGGGTGTTTGAGAGCCTGTGCAACTGTGTATGTCTGTGGCCAGCAGAGGTGTCGTCCTTCCTCTCTACTCCCAAACCCCAAGCTCCCACAGTGCTGGCCCCTCGCTTGATAGGAGTCCACATGTGTCTTCTCAGCAGGCCAGCATGTGTGCAGAGGTGTACGTACATGTGCACACACGTGTACAATATTTGCACACATGCTCTTGTGTCTGGGTACACGTGGGAATTCACACATAAAGGAGGGTGACCTGTCAAGGGCCACGGCGTTTGTGGAGGGTGGGGGTGTGGACGTGACTGTGCACACTGGTGAGTGCACGCACAAAAATGCATACTTGCTTCAAAACACCCCTCTGCTGCTCATCCGCCCCATGCTCCACCCTTCCCCTGCCTGGAGCGGAGAGGAGAGGAGAGATTCCCTCCCCAGGGGGACAGGGACTCAAGGTGGGAGCCCCGCCCTCGGCCTAAAGCCCCCAGCCGCCTGTCCCTGCTCAGGGGAGGAGTGGTGGCTGCCTGGCTCCCTGCAGGTGTTGACAGGCTGGCCTGGGCTGCGGCTGCCTGCGTGGGGCCCCGGCCGCCGGGAATCTGGGTCACCCGGTGAGAAGCTGATTCATTGTTTGTACCAGTCATGGGGTGGGGAGCAGCAGGGGGAGGGGGAGATACCCCGGGGAAGTGTGGGGAAGCCTGGCTCACCTGCTCCCGAGTCCCCAGGTCCACCCCCATTAGGCAGCCCCGGAGGTCTCCTCCGTGCCCCGGTCTGTGGGTGTTTATCTGGAAGGAGGATCTGTGTGTGTGTATCTTTATAGTCTGGTGTCTGTGTGTGAAGTGGCGAGTGGGTACGTTCCTGCACATGGAGATGCGTGTGTGGGTGTGTGTTTGTATCTGTGTGCCTCTGGGTTTCTAATGTGAACAAGAGGCCACCAACTGCCCATCGCCCACCTGGGTGCCTCTTACTGGGCGTTTGCTGTATACCCGGCTGCTCTGAGTTCTTCCTCTGTCTTAACTCATTTGAGCATCGTAATGACCCCGGGAGGTAGGTGATGGGGCTTCGACCACCCCCACTTTCAGATGAGGAAGGCCAGAACTAGAGAGGTTAAGTAACTTGCCCCAGGTCACACACACTCGGAGTAAGTGGCCGAGTAGAATTTGGATCCAGGTGGTTGGAAGTTCCTGCCACAGCTCTATCCCGGGTAGAAAAAAAGATGGTGGCCTGGGAGTCAGGATACCAGGGTTTTGCCTGCGTCCTGGCATTTGGCACAGGAACTGGCCTTGCCGTCTCTAAGCTGGATGTCCCTCGCTCGGGCTTTTCGCTCGGCATGCTGAGAGGCTAACTAGCTCCCCTTTCTTCTCGGGTGCAGGTGAAAATCTGGTTTCAGAACCGCCGCTCCAAATTCAAGAAGCTCTACAAGAACGGGGAGGTGCCCCTGGAGCACAGCCCCAACAACAGCGACTCCATGGCCTGCAACTCGCCTCCGTCACCCGCCCTCTGGGACACCTCCTCCCACTCCACTCCGGCCCCTGCCCGAAGCCAGCTGCCCCCGCCGCTCCCGTACAGTGCCTCCCCCAGCTACCTGGACGACCCCACCAACTCCTGGTATCACGCACAGAACCTGAGCGGACCCCACTTACAGCAGCAGCCGCCTCAGCCGGCCACCCTGCACCATGCCTCGCCGGGGCCCCCGCCCAACCCTGGGGCTGTGTACTGAGCACCCACCTGGCCTGAACCTCCCACGAAGGACTCCCGGGACCAGACAGAAGGCGTCTCTGTCCTCGCCGACACTCAGGAATCATCGAGGAGCACCGGGGGAAGGGAACGCCCCTTCCCCTGCCCTTGTCCCTTCCTCCAGGGACCCAAGAGCTCCAGATGAAATTTGCATGGGCCACGGATGTCCCCCCGAACCTCTGTCCCCCTGCCTAGACACTGGGGTACCCTTCCAGATGCTGGGACACTCCCCTCCAGCCGGGACAGGTGTCCTCCTTCTGTCCCAGGTGCCTGGATTGGCTTTACGTGGCTTGTCACCTTGCCGCCTCTAACACTTAGTACTTGTTTCCCAGACTGGAGACCGTGGGGGCTGGGGGACTGGGGAGTGTTTGCCGGTCGGGCCTGGTCTGGGACACCAGGCATTGTGGGTGCCGGGGCCTGCCAGGCCTGGTTCCTCCTACGTGAACTGTGGCCCCCTCTTCCTGAGCATCCCCGCTGCCAAAGAGACATTGGACGTGGAGACTGGGACTCAGGGTGGGACCCCAGCCAGCCCCCGCCCCGCACTTGCAGCCCTTGTTTAAGATTTGAGGGTCAAAGCAAGGAAAGTGGGGGGGGGATATTTTAATAATTGGGGCGTCAGAGGGAAGAACTCCAGGAGTCATCTCCCTCCTCTCCCCGCTCTGGTGGGAGAGGAGCGGTGGGTCTTAGAAGTCTTTCCTAAGGACCCATTTCTTCTTCTGTGTACAGGACTTTGCACAACTTTGGTTTTAAAAGCTGTTGAAAAATAGGAAAACAAAGGGCATTGTTAACAGATAGGATCAATCTCCCCTCGGTAGGCACCTCTGCGCTGCCCCCCCACCTCTTCCTCTCCCCCCACCCCTCTTCTTCTCCTCCAGTAAGCTGGCAGTTTTGGTGCCAAACCCCAAGTCTCCAAGGAGACATACCAGGCAAGACAAACCCCAAAACACCCCCTTTCCGGTGGCCTTGGAAACGGAGTGCATGGGGTGAAGTGCACAGGAGAGGGGGGGTTGTAGCTTGGTGCCTTGAGGGGTGAGGGGGTAGCTATCGGAGGGCTGGTGGCACTGCCCCTCCTGGCCCAGACATCCCCCCAGAGCTAACTTTCCTCCACCCCTGATGTGGTCAACCCTTGCAGAAGAGGAGAGGTAGAAGACTGTAGCTATATATATATATAGTCTGTATTTTTCTAAGAGCAACAGAAAGAGCTGCCTCCTCCCTGTGTGGTTTCCTATTTATGTGGCCCTTTCCTCCTGGATGTACCTGCCTGTGCGTCGTGAGCTGCGAGACACAGGGATGGGCTCTGGCTGGATTGGGGTTCGGTGGGGGGTGCAGAAATGAGAAGAGAAATGCTGGATCTCCAACAGTCCCACCCAGGGGGGCAGGAACGGAGCCAGCTCCCACTCCCTCCCAGCCTTCTCATTTCTGCTTTCTTACTGGACCATCTTTATATGTAATGTTAATAAAAAAGAAGGAAATAACCATTGAGCTCTTTGAA